CCCTGCACTATAGATGCAGGTTTAGCTATTTGTTCGGAGGGGCGATACCCCTTTCCCCTTGCTGAACGAGTCTGTCTCCGGGCACATACCAAGTTTCACACGTCACCTGTGCTAGCAGCAAAGCTCCTCTCAGTCTCAGAGCCATTGCAGCAACTGTGTGGATACAATAAGGTCCACACGGATGAATCAGCGCCTGGGGAAAGTGGGATTACGTTGGCGGAAGGTGCCAGCTTCCTCCATCCCTCTCTGTAATTACTCCACATGTGTAGGCAGCTGATTGTAGTGGCAGCATCAGCGAGGGGGAGGCTGACAGCTCTTCCACCATCTCATTAAGTGCAATCATTCTGAGGGCGAGCACTGGTTCTGGAAAATAATTACAAAGGGCCTTCCTCATCAGCGTGCCTCAGGAAAGCCTCGGCACGGAGGCCAAGGCTTCTTCGCTATATAAATTAGTCCCCAGAAGCCAGCTGCTTGCTCTAGACATCGTAATGGAGGACATCAAGGTGCCACCTGCAAAGGGAGCTCCAGCCACACAGCATAACTGGCAGAGAGGTGGTTCCCAGTCACCGATGATGCCGAGTTGCTTCCCCTTCCACTCACTTAAGCACAAAGCAGGTGCCCCCATACGGAGGTCTGCAATTAGTAACTGCATGGAAGTGGCAAAGAGATCCATGCTTCCTCCATTTACTCAGGATTGGGTCCTGCCTCCCAAAGCAAGGCCCAGGCTGCTGTAGAAAGCCCACCGGAGCAAAAGTTTGGGATTCAAACCTGAGTAATGCCTGGGCAAAAGAGAACCCAAAATCAAAATGGGAGTGTTTGACCTGGGGGAAATCCAGAGCTTAGATCCATTTTAGGAAAGTGCCATCTCTGGGCCACCAGCAGAGACTACCAGACTATCAGCAAGACCAACAAACCATGGGACTGTTTAAAATTAAGACTGGAAGAAGAGCTCTGTGTAGCTCAAAAGCTTGTCTCTCTTACCAACAGAAGTTGGTCCATTAAAAGATATTACCTCACCCCTCATCTCCTTAAAACTGAGACATTTATTGTTGTCCAAGAACTTATGAATATGAACTTAACATGACAAGCTGCGGAAAGCCTTGCACTCTGTACCCAGTTGCAGCAGGAGCTGGCTGCTTCCCTATAGTAGGATTTGTAAGGAAGCTTTGTTAAGTTTCCTGGGTCACAGTAGCTACTAATACCCAAAAATCCTATCAATAAATATGCAGCAGGAAAACTGCATTTCTTCTAACAAACCAATACATGCTTTCCCTCCTTGCCCCAATCAACGCCCTGAAACACTGACACTAAGCTTTCACTGTTTGGTTTGAAACAACTCCCATTGCCTTAATGGAGTTCGATGGGATCCTGAATCTTGTTTCTTCGATAATTTCTTTTGAAGTTTGCTCATGGGGATTAGCAAACATCTAGTTTCTGTGAGGGTCCCAGACAATAACTCCTGTTGGACATCTTTACACGGCAAGAGGATTCTTTTCTTTCTACTGACAAACAAGCACTATTCACAAGAACAGAAATGTTAACATAGCCTACAAGAGGTCAGTGTTTTATTACCCATAAGCATACAACTTCAGTGTCTTAACTTCATTTGGAATTACAATACCTGGATCAGACACGGATTTGGAACCCATCAGGGCCCACATGGGGGGGGGGGCGGCGGCGCGGGGGGGAGAGAAGAGAAAAGACAATACCTGACTCAAAATTCACCCATAATGCCAAGTTATCCTTCTCTATCCTCCAGCTGGCACAATGTTCTATAAAAATGATCAGTAGTGGAAAAGTTAACAACGTTGCTTTGTTTAAATTGTTGTCTTCAGGCTTCAGAGTCAATGTGATGTTGAGATGAATAGGGTCAGTTCACACTTTTTAAATCTGGGTTCTGTTCACACTGCAAAGTGAAATATGTTTTAACCAGGACAACTGCATTTTAACCAGGTCCAGGATTTGTATCATAGATCAGACTCTGAAAGTTATTAATTATTATTTGTCATTATGACTGCTTCCTTTCAGTCTGCAAACTAAGTAAAGCAGCACTGTAGTGATACACATTCAGAAGGTTTTCTTTGCAAGCAAAAAGGTTAAAAACTCAGGTTTGAGTGACTGGGTAGACAGTACAGAAACTGATGAAGCCAGTTACAATCCACAGAGGTGAACTGCCAGATATCAGTGCAATCCCACTCTGAGAGGCCATGCTAACGTTCGTGCTTTCGTCCCTGGAGAAATAAATAGGATAAACTTTACCCAGCTGTTTTCAAACTAGAACCCCCTTCAAGTGTCTCTTTTGGCCAACGCAAACACAAAGCTTAAAAATCAAGTTCAGTTTGCAACTGCCAAGGTAAACAGTGCCATGGTATCACATGGCCATAAACAAACAAGCCACGCAGCAAGTTCACAGCAGGACTGTGCACAGGCTCCCAAAGAAATCTGTACCCACACTGCCAACAGCCTAGTAACACAGCTCTTCAGAGACAACACCTTCACTATGGCTGAGCCACCAGCAGAAACGGTTCAGTAGCAATTGACCTTGGAGACTGACTCATACAAATCACTCGATTCTGAAGACTGGTAAATCCAGTTTACTTATTCAACAGCTATTATCACTATGTATGCTCATCTTAAGCACATACATAATTCTTAGACACCGAGCCTTGCCGATTAGCACAATACTCCATCACATAGAACAAGAGAGCGTTCAGACTGCAAGGGAAAGTTAACATCCATGCATCCGGAATATCCACGGCCAAATATCAAGCAACCTAGCAATGCAGATTCCGTTAGGTCAGACAATTTTCCAGGAGGGAATGCAGCCCCCTGGACATCTGCAATGCTAGCAGAGTTAAATGTTGTCAAATCACAATCTAATTAAACTTTCACAGACATGAGAAACCTCTTTATCAGATTGGCCATAACAACATAGAACAGAAAACAGGACTTCAGTTCATCGTCTTGACTAAAATGGAATTGTGATTGGTCATATGAGGATTACGCCCTGAGGAGATCACAAAGAAAACCAGCGTTTTCAAACTGCAGTCATTCAAACCGCTGCGTTGAATGCTTTGGGCCTAAGTTTTCCTACCACAATTTTACTCGCTTTATGCTTACAAATAGTTCAGTGCTCCAGCCATTTATAAAACAGACAATAGTGTAACTGCTCCAGTTTACTGCACGACAGCCTGCAGCACGTCCTCGGTTAGAGGGATTATAGCCGAGTTCGTCGCAGAACGGCGTCGTTTACCCTAATTCACACAGCGCAAGAACATTCTGGTTGTGAAACTCTGAAGGAAAAAAAACAAGTCACTAGACTCACTGACCTCAGATATAACACAGTTACAGACATAGCGTGAAGGACGTGCCTTTTAACAACACTTCCCTCATGGCACGCATCTGCTGCTGCACGACCTGCCTGGGAGCTCTCTTCCTTTACCAGGTGTATTCTTTAACCCCATATTCATCTAGCACCATCATATACAAGTCAAAAGGAGATTTAGGACTAAATAGGTCTGCCCCTTCAGCACAGCATTCCTAGCTTAGGAAGGGTCATTAAAAACAAAGGGCTCTCACGGTACGGTACACGGCCCTCTTCAGTCCCCGAGAGTATGTAGAGCTGATGTGGTTATCTGATGTGGCAGTGAAACAGTTTAAGTGGGTTTCACAGGACAGTACAATACCCGGGGCTGGCTCAGAAGCCAAGGAAACCTTTCATCATGAAAGAGACAGCTAGGTTTGAAATTGGGCTTAATTTTAAAGCTCTATTTTTGGAACCACTAATATGAACCATTTTGATATGGCAGGTTTCGGAGTAGCAGCCGTGTTAGTCTGTATTTGCAAAAAGATGTGGGGACCTGCATGAAAACCTCCTAAGCTTACTTTTACCAGCTTAAGTTAAACTTCCCCAAGGTACAAACTATTTTACCTTTTGCCCTTGGACTTTCGCTGCCACCACCAAGCGTCTAACCAGTATTATTATTAGGAAAGAGTCCGTTTGGAAAGGTTTTTCCTCCCAAAAAATCCTCCCAAACATTACCCCCCTTTTCTGGGAAGGTTTGGTAAAAACCCTCACCAATTTGCATAGGTTACCACAGACCCAAACCCTTGGATCTTAAGAACAATGAAAAAACAAACATTCAGTTTCTTAAAAGAAGAATTTTAAGAGAAGAAAAAGTAAAGAGGATCACCTCTGTAAAATCAGGATTTGCTAGTCTCTAAGGTGCCCAAGCACTCTCTTTCATTCTGATATGAAATTTTTTGCCTGATAAAATTTAATCTTGTGGAGGTGGAAGGAAAGAAGTTAGAGAGCCTGTTACTCCAGCGTAGGCAGGAATCATTTCATTCTCCCCAACACCCTCCCCCCCCTTAGCAGTCGGTCTCTCCATTAACTGCAGCTACGAGTGATCGCTGGTGACCACAGTTTAAGACCAGCACGAAAGTCAGGAATTGAGTCCAGGGTGTCACTTCTAAGGAGAGCGAAGTGCCGCAAGGCAGCTGCGATTGTAAATTACTCCTACCCAACTCCACCGCCAGTTCTGCGCTTACATAAGAGGACATCTTTTTCCACCCCTCGATCCAGCCCTCAGAACTAAATCCCATTTCCCCATATTTGGAAACGGGCCCACACACACCCAGCGAGAGAGAAAGAAAACCACCAAACCCTTGCAATTATTTAAAAATAAAAGGCACTGCACGTTGCATAACCGCCCTGGGGAAAGACAGCCGCAAATTAACATCTCAGACCAACCCAGCCCACGAACCAGCAGCAAGCCAGGAGAGGGACAAGCCCCGGCTCCCGCTGCTTGCCAGCCGGTGCCGAGAAAAATTAAGAGCGACACGGTAGAGCCGAGCCCAAGCGCCCGAGCCGGCTGCCCGGGCTTGAGCCGCGCTAGGGTCCCCGCAGCCCTCCCCCGGCCAGGCGCAGCGCAGTCCCGGGGGCTCGCCGTGCCCAGCGCCGGGCGAGGCGGGGCCCGAGGGGACGGGGACGGGCTCACCTTGTAGACGGTCTCGGTGAGGCGGTGAACCTCCTCGCAGCGCGCCATGCCGGCCGGGTCGCGCAGCGCCGTGCAGCCGGGCGGAGTGCGCTGGGGCGCGGCCGCCGCCGAGCTTATATCGCCGCCCCGCGCCGGGCGCCCCGGCGGCCGCCTCCGCCCGCCCCCGGCTCCGCCCGCCGGCCCCGGGGGGGAGGATCGGCCGCAAAGCGGGGCCAGCCCGCCCGCCAGGCGCCGCACGCCCCGAACCCCTCCCTCCGCCCCCTAACCAGCCCCCCACCCCCCTCTGCCCCCTACCCACCCCTCCCTCTGCCCCCTAACCAGCCCCCCACCCCTCTCTGCACCCCACAGCCCCCACCCCCCTCTGCCCCCTACCCACCCCTCCAGGCACCCCACAGCCCGCACCCCTCTCTGCCCCTTACCCACCCCTCCCTCCGCCCCCTAACCAGCCCCCCCCACCCCTCTCTGCCCCCTACCCACCCCTCCAGGCACCCCACAGCCCCCAACCCCCCTCTGCCCCCTACCCACCCCTCCCTCCGCCCCCTAACCAGCCCCCCACCCCCTCTGCCCCCTACCCACCCCTCCCTCCGCCCCCTAACCAGCCCCCCACCCCCCTCTGCCCCCTACCCACCCCTCCCTCTCGGCACCCCACAGCCCCCACCCCCCTCTGCCCCCTACCCACCCCTCCAGGCACCCCACAGCCCGCACCCCTCTCTGCCCCTTACCCACCCCTCCCTCCGCCCCCTAACCAGCCCCCCCACCCCTCTCTGCCCCCTACCCACCCCTCCAGGCACCCCACAGCCCGCACCCCTCTCTGCCCCTTACCCACCCCCCTCCCTCCGCCCCCTAACCAGCCCCCCACCCCTCTCTGCCCCCTACCCACCCCTCCAGGCACCCCACAGCCCGCACCCCCTCTGCCCCCTAACCACCCCCTCCCTCCGCCCCCTAACCAGCCCCCCACCCCCTCTGCCCCCTACCCACCCCTCCAGGCACCCCACAGCCCCCCAACCCCCCCCTCTGCCCCCTACCCACCCCTCCCTCCGCCCCCTAACCAGCCCCCCCACCCCTCTCTGCCCCCTACCCACCCCCCTCCCTCCGCCCCCTAACCAGCCCCCCACCCCCTCTGCCCCCTACCCACCCCTCCCTCCGCCCCCTAACCAGCCCCCCACCCCCCTCTGCCCCCTACCCACCCCTCCAGGCACCCCACAGCCCCCAACCCCCCCTCTGCCCCCTAACCACCCCTCCAGGCACCCCACGGCCCCCACCCCCCTCTGCCCCCTACCCACCGCTCCAGGCACCCCACAGCCCCCAACCCGCCACCCCCTCTGCCCCCTAACCACCCCTCCAGGCACCCCACCCCCCCGCCTCCTAACCACCCTCCAGACACCCCACAGCCCCTAACCACCCCTCCAAGCACTGCACAGCCCCCAACCCCCTCTGCCCCCTACCCACCACTCCAGGCACCCCACAGCCCCCAACCCCCCTCTGCCCCCTAACCACCCCTCCAGGCACCCCACCCGCCCTGCCTCCTAACCACCCTCCAGACACCCCACAGCCCCTAACCACCCCTCCAAGCACTGCACAGCCCCCAACCCACCCAGCCCTCTGCCCCAAACCACCCCTCCAGGCACCCCACAGCCCCCAACAGCCCTAACCACCCCACACATCCCCTGCCCCCAACGCCCCCAGGCACCCTACAGCCCCCTGCCCCCAACACCCCTAACCACCCCATGCCCCCCCTGCCCCCAACGCCTCCAGGCACTCTACAGCCCCCAACACCCCTGATTAGGGGTTTGGAACGGGTCCCATATGAGGAGAGATTAAAGAGGCTAGGACTTTTCAGCTTGGAAAAGAGGAGACTATGGGGGGGATGTGATAGAGGTCTATAAAATCATGAGTGGTGTGGAGAAAGCGAACAAGGAAAAGTTGTTTACTTGTTCCCATCATATAAGAACTAGGGGCCACCCAATGAAATTAATGGGCAGCAGGTTTAAAACAAATAAAAGGAAGTTCTTCTTCGCTCAGCGCACAGTCAACCTGTGGAACTCCTTGCCAGAGGAGGTTGTGAAGGCTAGGACTATAATGGGGTTTAAAAGAGAACTGGATAAATTCATGGAGGTTAAGTCCATTAATGGCTATTAGCCAGGATGGGTAAGGAATGGTGTCCCTAGCCTCTGTTTGCCAGAGGGTGGAGATGGATGGCAGGAGAGAGATCACTAGATCATTACCTGGTCGGTTCACTCCCTCTGGGACACCTGGCATTGGCCACTGTCAGCAGACAGGATACTGGGCTGGATGGACCTTTGGTCTGACCCAGTGTGGCCGTTCTTATGTTCTTACACCCAGCACCCATACCAACTTTCTGTCCCCCCTCCCCATAGCATCCCATCCAGCCCCGCATCATCACACTTCCCACCCCGCCCAGACCCCCGTGGGAGAACAAAAAGGAACTCACAGCTTTTCTTTTGCTCACGTATCAAGGTGAGAAGGTCAGCAATGGATTGGTGGAGGGGGTTTTAGAGCAATAGACAGACAGACAGGAGAGTTTGTACTGCAAGATGGATGGCGGGATAAAGGGTTTGTTTCATGGGAGATGGATGGCTGCACTGATGGTAAATGAGAAGAGTCGGGGAGGGAAGGGAAATAGTGGTTAGAAAGGGCCTGGGGGAGGGGAGGTAGCTAAACATGTAGAGGGGGCAAAATGGGGAATGAAGGGCAGAGGCGCAGGAGAGGGATAGAACAGCTAATGTCGTGTGCACGTGACTTGAGCCCATACAACAGGCCTGGGAGCTTTGGCTCCCTACGGTGGAAGTGCGTGTCCAGAGCAGGATTCCACTGTGCGGGGCATGTCCTGGAGCTGCTGGGGAAGAGCGGGAGCTGGATGAGAACTTGGTGCCATATTGAGCCAGTTCTCCCACACCCCGGCCAGGCAGCTGCAGTTCCCCACCGTTCCCCCAAGCAGAAGGATCTGGTGTCTCGTTTGTTCCCTTCAAATGGAGAGGCCCAGATGCCCCTCAGAATTCCCTCTCCTGTCCCCCCGCTTCAAGGCCATGCTGGCCCCAATATCTGTCCGTCTCCCTTTCTGTCGCAATCAGCATCTTTCTCAGGCTAGGGCTTTCAAGGCTTCCTCACAGGCGCAAGAGACTCTGGGGAGATATTGGGGGTTTGACTGGCTCCCGGAGCTGCCTTTCCCAAATGTCTGAAACCTGATCCCCCTCAAAATGAAACCAATCATGTCCCACTGTACCCCCATGTTGTGTCATTAAAGGCTGTACCCGCCCTCCTCCGAGGGGAAAGGGAGGTGCTGATCTCTGCAGCATGACCTTTTCCCCATGCTGTAAAGAACAACAAAATAGTTCATAAGAACGGCCACACTGGGTCAGACCAAAGGTCCATCCAGCCCAGTATCCTGTCTTCCCACAGTGGCCAACGCCAGGTGCCCCAGAGGGAGTGAACTTAACAGGTAATGATCTAGTGATCTCTCTCCTGCCATCCATCTCCACCCTCTGACAAACAGAGGCTAGGGACACCATTCCTTACCCATCCTGGCTTATAGCCATTAATGGACTTAACCTCCATGAATTTATCCAGTTCTCTTTTAAACCCTGGTCTAGTCCTAGCCTTCACAACCTCCTCAGGCAAGGAGTTCCACAGGTTGACTGTGCACTGTGTGAAGAAGTTAACAATGGTGGCTTCTGAAGTATCAGCTGGGGTCTGAATCAGCACCCATTAAAATAAATGGGGCAGCTCACTCCTCAAAGCTACTGTATCAGGCTCTCTGCAAACTCAGGCAAATGTCTCTGCTTCAGTTACATTTATTTCATGTTTCAGATGTTTTCTTCCCAGCCATAGTAATGCATCCGATGGCCAATCAGGTTCCCAGACCATGGAGGGCGGGTGCAATAGCATTGTTAGCCAAAGGCATACAACCACAAGAGCTGGCAGTTGGATTGGGCATCTCTTTCCTCCAATCGGAGTGGGAGAAAAAGGTACAATTTTTGATGGGGGTGGGACACACCTGTGAGCGGGGCAGCAGAGGCACATCAGGGTCTGGCTGTGGATAGGGCAAACCTGTGGCCATAGGGTCAGTAGTTAACAAGTTGGATATACATCTCCATGCCCCTCCAGCCGCTTCCTTTTACGGCCTAGGGCGCTGCGGGGGCTGTGGTCTCAGAGCATTCTGTTCACCCCCAGCCCACTCTTACTTTCAAGTGTTTTTAGTTTGCTTGCCTGAGGCCACACGATTCCGCTTCCCCCAACTCTCCTTGGGGTTAAGGGAGGTGGGCAGGTGGCTCTTCATGTCTGACCTAGAGGAGGATCTATGTCTGGTGGGATCTCCCTCTCCATCTTTCTTTGTCCTCTTCTGAATCTCTCCTCCCTGAACTCTGAGAACAAGAGGAAGGGGAAAGCACAAACCAGTTGTTCTCCTACCCCAGAACCACACTCTTCTCTTTCACTTCTCCTTCCCTCCACTGTTGGCCTTCATCCAGCAAACACAGGGGAGCCCACAAGATGCCCAGCTGACTGTCCAGTGTTGCTGCCTTTCATTGACACCAGTCCCTGGCCTTTGTTTGTACCTGCCCCGTGTAGGTTGTACACGTTGGGGGGCAGGGAAGACAAAGGAAGGACATGAGATGGGGCTTTTTGTTTTGACTGACTTGTTAACTAGTCCCAGCTGAGAGGACTGGGATATATTTGCCCTTTGTAAGAGGTGATCTTTCAAAGAGGAGGGGACCGTGGCATGCTGATCTGGCTCATGTCCAGGGATGGGGACCTGGAATGCTACGTTCGATCTTTTCAGGAGAGCCCCAGTAAGGCAGGAAGCAGCAGGTATTCTGCCTTGTTGACCAGTCGGATGGGGGGGGGGGGTGTTTCAGAGTTGGAAGTATGGGTGCTGCTCACTTGAGGGCTACTGGACTTGCCCCTCAATGCAGAGGACACCAGGGCAAGGCTTTCAGAGGGGAGGGATGGGAAGAGAGCCATTGTGTGCATCTTTATCACGTTATTTTTAGTTGCGTTATGTAAGTCGTTCTTTGCTATGTCATGGGTGTGGGGGGTTCTTGCATTTAATTCCAGTGTGACAGCCCAGCAATTCAAACAAGCTGTTCCTCTGGCA